CGATTAGAGGGAGGAGGTGGAGGTTCAAATTTTGATGTTGATCAAGTTGTTTCTTCCTTTGATTAAGTTTTAGCCATTTTAAGAGTAGATAGCTTTAACAGACCTTTAGCTTGTCTAACATCAAGTTCATTGGTAATTCAAATATCAACTAGAATTTCAGAAACAATATTTCACGATGCATATTTTGAGTTTGTAAATCCAAAAATCAACTTGTGACACCACATTTCTGGAGTAATAAGAGGGAAGTTTAGCTGGCTAACTAGTTGATGGTATGTGGCTGTTATCTCATATTTTATAAAAGTGAGAATATGAACAACTAGATCTATTTCATCCACATTCTTGAATCGGTGCATTAATGAATTTCTTATTGAAGATAACCTAATCACCCAACTGCTTAAACAGCCGTTCACCCATCAGCGTATAATTTATATATACCGACTTGAAAAAGTAAACAGTAAATTCGATCGACTATTTGGAGATTCCTTTCTTATTTCGGCATTTGAAGTAATCGTCCAAGGCTAAAATAAATTTGGTTACGGTCCACCTAAATTGAAGTATTCTATCTATAGTACAAGTTGCTATTATACAAGAATGAAAGTTCTCGTGATTTAAAAAAGTGAGAAATAGTGCAAATAGAAAATAGAAGAAGAAGAAGAAGACGAGTTATGCTGAATGAACAGAAAGTTGGTAGGTTTGCGAAGCTCTCGTTTGGTCATAGATTTTGGCTTTTTTTTTTTTTTTTTGGAGGAAATACTGTTTCATGGAGATTAGTTTTTGAAACAATTTGATTTTTCTTTTTCAAGTTCCCAAAACTGGTTTATGGCAGTTTTTCGGTGAAAATTTTGCTTCTACTCACAAAACTTCAACTTTTTTTCAAATAAAATACAAGTTCAAACACAGCTTCAACTTCAAAATATATGTCAACCTTAGAGAGATTATTGACAATCTCAAATCTAATGTGATGTGTATCTTTTTTGTTGCACAAACGACTTAATGTAAACAATACATAATAAATTTCATTCTTATAGATTTAAATTTGAAATAAAATATTTATTGTACCGAATAAAACTGAATTTGATAATGTGAAAAGAAATAAAATACGATTGAAAATGTGATTCAATAGTTCTAGCACATCTTCCAACAAACATAGAATAACTTCCACGTACCATTAAAACAAAAAGTACGATAACATGAACTAATACGATGCGCAACAAAGTAAGAAAAAACAACAAAAGACAATAACTACGTCTTAGTCCCAAACAAGTTGAGACAGACTATATGAAAAACAACATGAAAGATAAAGCAATAGAAATATTATGACGATAGATCAATCAATATCATTGTAATGTCCATCATTCTTCTCTCCTGCCTCGTTATCATGGCCTTCTTTTGTTGCATTAGAACTCGAGGAAGTAGATGCATGCTGTTGATTGAGTTGTTTCTTCCTCTCATCGAGTTTAGCCATTATACGAGTAGAAAACTTCAATAAATCTTCGATTTGTGCGACATCAAGGTCACTGGTATTAATTTTTGCCTCGAAAAGTTGATTGAAAAGTATTTCCATTTCTTTCTCCTTATTTTTTCGGGCGATTCTTCTAATATTTTCTTCTTCAAGTTTTTTGATTTTGTTTTCAAGGTAGGTTTCATGTAAAACTAACTTCTTTGATCTTTCGTACTCAGAGTGACTTAAATACTCAGTAATTCTAACCATAGCCTCACTTTCATCTGGCCAAACAATAGGAAAGGTTTCTCCTGGACTAAAAATAATTATTGTAACCATTACCTCACACAGAGTGGACAAATCCTTTGCCATTTTAAACAAAGTAGAAATTTTTCTTTTTTCTTTGGCTTTTCTCTGCCTTTCACTACAAACCTTTGTATTCTTAAGCCCCTCTCCACTCATGTTTTCTACACACACACACACAAAAGAGCACTATGTTTGGGAGTAAAATTATGAATGAATACTTAATTGTAGATGTAGAAGAGAAGCAATGGGATTTATATAGATGTATAATGGGGTTTGTTAATACCATATAGTGAAATGATTTCAAGTAGATTTTGATAATATAGAGAATTTGGTAATAAAGACAATTTGGTTTTGGAAAATTGGAAGAATATTTAAGTGTTTTCCTAAAATGGTTGAAAATTCAAGATTTAAACTAGATTTTCAGAAACCATATTCCATATTGCATAATTTGGAAAGTATTAAGATTGAAGTCTTGTTGACTCACTAATAAAGTGAGAATAAGAGAAACTAAATCTACTTCTTTTAATGTTTTTGACAATGTATTAATTACTGATTTTCTTATTTAGACATTTGAAGTAATCCCAACGGTAAGATGTATGTAGTTATTAGTCTTAGGCTTTAGGGTTCGCGCTTTGCACGTGTACCTACAACATGAATATACAAGTTAAAAATTAATAAATATTATTAAATAATGTGTTTGAGTTATAAATAATTTGTTTTAAAAAGTGTCAATTCTTGAAAATAATTAATGTTGATCATATTTAACTAGATCAACAACGAAAAGATCCTATCATAAAATTATTTTTAGACATATAATGCAAACACTAATAGGATAAAATTCTAAAATAAAATATTGATGGAAAACATAAATCCAATCAAACAACACATACATTTAATCAATTTTGACTAATTTATAACTTCTTCCTTAGCGTCTCAAAAGAATGCCATAATCAGTTTGAACACCAGTACATATAGCTTTCACTAATTATCAAAATTGTAAGTGGACAAACTCTAATTGAATTTAAAGTTCACTATAAGCTAAAATCAAAATATTAATACATTTAATATAAGATAATTTTAATTAATTTATTTCAACCTAAGATAATGTAAGATAATGTCAATTAATTTATTTCAACCTAATGATTATATCGAGCTTTTCAAGAACATCCTTTTATTAGTTAGTATTAATAACATAAAAACCAACAAAAAGAGAAAAAAAAAATAACAGAGAACTGGTAATGGTGGTTCCATGTCTTAGAAATAAAAAGGCATCTTACGATATACTTTTACTTTTTAGAAAAACTCCTTACCTAAATATCTTAAGGTTAGATCTAAACTTAAATTTCTTAGACTTTAGTAGTTGTTATAAATGAAACTAAAATAATTAAAAAAATATGTTACGTGCACAAAATAGTTTTAGCTTTAATCGGTTGTAATTTAATAACAAAAAAGAAAAGAGTCCTAAAATAAAAAGGAGTTCAAACTATTACGTTGTAAAAGAACTTTACAAAATAATGTGTTTTGTTTTTTGTCATGTAGTTTACAAATAAGGAAAGATTTAATACAAAAATTTAGTTGGTTTTGAAGGCTTAATTAAATTATTACTCATAAATATTAGGAAAATAATTCAATGACTATTTTATTGTAATGACCCGGCCGGTCATTTCGAGAGTTATAGCCCCGTTCCCCCATTTCCTGCTTCTTTTGTGTTCTTCAGCTATATTATGATATACCAGGTTAGTAGATTTGGGTTCGGAGTGGTTTCGGAGTGAATTGAGACACATAGTCTCTTAATTGAAAGCTTAAGTTGGAAAAAGTTGATCGGATGTTGAATTATGTGTAAACGACATCGGATTTGAATTTTGATGTTTCCGTTAGCTCGTTAGATGATTTTGGACTTTGGAGTGCGTCCGGAATGTGATTTGGAGGTCTGTGGTAGAATTAGGCTTGAATTGGCGAAAGTTAGAATTTTGGCAATTTTGGCCGGCAGTGGAAATTTTGATATCGGGGTCGGATTGGATTTTCGGAAGTTGGAGTAGATTCGTGGTGTCATTTCTAACTTGTGTGCAAAAAATGAGGTCATTCGGACGTGGTTTGGTAGGTTTCGGCATCGTTTGTGGAATTCAGAAGTTTAGAAGTTCTTTACGCTTGAATCCGGGTTTAATTTGGTGTTTTAATGTTGTTTTGAGTAATTTGAAGGTTCGACTAAGTTCGTATGATGTTAAGGATCGGTTGGCATGTTTGGTTGTGGTCTTGAGGGCCTCGGGGTGATTTCGGGTAGTTATCGGATTGTTTTGAGTTGAAGAAGTGCAGCTGAAGCTGCTATTTCGGGTGTGACCGCACCTGCGGAGGGGGAACCGCAGGTGCGAGGCCGCAGAAGCGAAGGAGGAGTCGCAGGTGCGGCTAAGGAATACCTGGTAGAGGACGCAAGTGCGATGGCATTCCCGCACCTACGGTGGTTGTAGAAGCGGACCCAGGGGCGCAGGTGCGAGTTTGGACCACAGAAGCGAGATGCTTTCTGCACCTGTGGAAGGCGCATATGCGGTCTTGAGGCTGCAGGAGCGAGGTCAGGATTTTAAGTGAAATCCGCACCTGCCATGGAATTTCCGCAGGTGCGGCGTCGCAGAAGCGACAAATGAACCGTTGGTGCGGTATTGCTGGGAAGAAAAACACCAGCTCGAGGTTTTGTCTTTCATTTTAAATTTTGGACTTGAGAAGCTCGGGAGAGAGGCGATTTTTCGAGGAATTTCAAGGAAAAACGTTGGGGTAAGTAATGCTAAACCCGTATTGGTCTAAATTTCGTGAATCCATGGCTTTATTCATCACCTAATTAGGGATTTGAGTCGAAAACTTGGGGTTTAGGACTTTAGAATTTGGAGAGTGGATTTTGAGGAATTGAGTAACCAAATGAGGTTGGATTTTGATAAATTCGGTTGGTTAGACTGGTGAGCGAATGGACTTTCGGGTTTTGCGACTTTTGTTGGATTTCGAGACATGGGCCCGGGAGGGTGTGTGTGTGTGTGTGGGGGGGGGGGG